GTGTAGTGGTGAGTCGTGCTGTGTTGTGGTGAGTGGAGCTGTGTAGTGGTGAGTGGTGATGTGTACTGGTGAGTGGCGCTGTGCAGTGGTGAGTGGCGCTGTGTAGTGGTGAGTGATGCTGTGTAGTGGTGAGCGGTGCTGTGTAGTGGTGAGCGGTGCTGTGTAATGGTGAGCGGCGCTGTGTAGTGGTGAGTGGTGCTGTGTAGTGGTGAGGGTGAGTGGGTGGGTGAGTGAGTGGTAGTGGTGAGTGTGTGTGGGTGAGTGAGTGGTAGTGGTGAGTGTGTGTGGGTGAGTGAGTGAGTGGTAGTGGTGTTTGTGGGTGAGTGAGTGGTAGTGGTGAGTGTTTGTGAGTGAGTGAGTGAGTGGTAGTGGTGAGTGTTTGTGGGTGAGTGAGTGGTAGTGGTGAGTGTTTGTGGGTGAGTGAGTGGTAGTGGTGAGTGTGGGTGAGTGAGTGAGTGGTAGTTGTGAGTGTTTGTGAGTGAGTGAGTGGTAGTGGTGAGGGTTTGTGAGTGAGTGAGTGGTAGTGGTGAGTGTTTGTGAGTGAGTGGTAGTGGTGAGTGTTTGTGGGTGAGTGAGTGTAGGCAGGCCTGCCAGGGCGGTGAGGGCCGGGGTGTGCTCCGGCTGGCCGGGGTCTTCGCTCTGTCGCTCGCCTCCCTGCTCGGCCTCCTGGGCCTGGCGCTCGGCCCTCGCCTGGAGGAGGCCCGCAGACTCGGGGAGGCCCTCACGCAGATACAGCCAGGCGACAACCAGGTGCTGAATATATAGTCCACCCACACGCACTACAGTCCACCCACACGCACTATACTCCACCCACACACATTATAGTCCACCCACACACACTATAGTCCACCAACACAAATTATAGTCCACCCACACACACTATAGTCCACCCACACACATTACAGTCCACCCACACACTATAGTCCACCCACACACAATACAGTCCACGCACACACTATAGTCCACCCACACACACTATAGTCCACCCACACACAGTATAGTCCACCCACACGCACTATACTCCACCCACACACATTATAGTCCACCCACACACAGTATAGTCCACCCACACGCACTATAGTCCATCCACACACATTATAGTCCACCCACACACACTATAGTCAACCAACACACACTATAGTCAACCCACACACATTATAGTCCACCCACACGCACTATAGTCCACCCACACGCACTATATTCCACCCACACACACTATAGTCCACCTACATGCACTATAGTCCACCCACACACACTATAGTCCAACCACACGCAATATAGTCCACCCACACGCAATATAGTTCACCCACATGCAATACAGTCCACGCACACACATTATAGTCCACCCACACACACTATAGTCCACTCACACACTCTCGTCCACCCAAACACACTATAGTCCACCCATGCACACTATAGTCCACCCACACACACTATAGTCCACCCACACACTACCGTCCACCCACACACTATAGTCCACCCACAAACACTATAGTCCACCCACATACACTATAATCCACCCACACAAACTATAGTCCAACCACACACTATAGTCCACCCACACCCACTATAGTCCACCCACACACTATTGTCCACCCAAACACAATATAGTCTAACCACATACACCATTTTCCACCAACACACTATAGTCCACCCACACAGTATAGCCCACCCACATACACTATATTCCACCCACACGTACTCTAGTCCACCCACACACACTATAGTCCACCCACACGCACTATAGTCCATCCACACTCACTATAATCCATCCACACGCAATATAGTCCACCCACACACTATAGACCGCCCACACACTCTAGTCCACCCACACACTCTAGTCCACCCACACACACTATAGTCCACCCACACGCACTATAGTCCATCCACACACACTAAAGTCCACCCACACACACTATAGTCCACCCACACACTATAGTCCACCCACACAACAATATAGTCGACCTACACAGTATGGTACACCCACACACAGTACAGTCCACCCACACACACTATAGTCCACCCACACACAGTATAGTCCACCCACACACTATAATCCACCCACACGCAATATAGTCCATCCACACACAATATAGTCCACCCACATAATACATGGCACCCACACACACTATAGTCCACCCACACACTCTAGTCCACCCACACATACTATAGTCCACCCCCACGCAACATAGTCCACCCACACACACTATAGTCCACCCACACACACTATAGTCCACCCACGCGCACTATAATCCACCCACTCGCACTATAGTCTACCCACACGCAATATAGTCCATCCACACACATTATAGTCCACCCACACGTACTCCAGTCCACCCACACACACTATAGTCCACCCACACACACTACAGTCCAGCCACACAATAGTCCACCCACACACTATAGTCCACCCACCCACAATATAGTCCACCGACACACACCATTGTCCACCAACACACTATAGTCCACCCACACACTATAGTCCACCCACACACAATATAGTCGACCAACACACACTATAGTCCACCCACACACACTATAGTCCACCCACACACACTATAGTCCACCCACACACACTATAGTCCACCCACACGCACTATAGTCCACCCACTGGCACTATAGCCCACCCACACACACTATAGTCCACCCACACACACTATAGTCCACCCACGTGCACTATAATCCACCCACTTGCACTATAGTCCATCCACACACATTATAGTCCACCCACACACACTCTAGTCCACCCAAACACTCTAGTCCACCCACACACTCTAGTCCACCCACACACACTCTAGTCCACCCACACACACTATAGTCCACCCACACACACTATAGTCCACCCACACACTCTAGTCCACCCACACACTATAGTCCACCCACACGCACTATAGTCCACCCACACACACTATAGTCCACCCACACATTATAGTCCAACCACACACACTATAGTCCAACCACACAGACTATAGTCCACCCACAAACACTCTAGTCCACCCACACGCACTATAGTCCACCCACACACTATAGTCCACCCACACACAATATAGTCCACCCACACGTACCATTGTCCACCAACACACACTATAGTCCACCCACACATAGTCCACCCACACGCAATAAAGTCCACCCACACACACTTAAGTCCACCCACACACTATAGTCCACCCACCCACAATATAGTCCACCCACACACACTATAGTCCACCCAAACACAACATTGTCCACCCACACACAATATAGTCCACCTACACACTCTAGTACACCGACATTATAGTCCATCAACAAAATAGTCCGCCCACACAATACATTGCACCCACACACACTATAGTCCACCCACACACTCTAGTCCACCCACACACTATAGTCCACCCACACACACTATAGTCCACCCACACACACTATAGTCCACCCACACGCACTATAATCTACCCACACACACTAGAGTCCACCCACACACACTATAGTCCAGCCACACACACTATAGTCCACCCACACACTATAGTCCACCCACCCACAATATAGTCCACCCACACACAATATAGTCCACCTACACACACTCTAGTACACCGACATTATAGTCCACTAACAAAATAGTCCGCCCACACAATACATTGCACCCACACACACTATAGTCCACCCACACACTCTAGTCCACCCACACACACTATAGTCCACCCACACACACTATAGTCCACCCACACGCACTATAATCTACCCACACGCACTAGAGTCCACCCACACACACTATAGTCCAGCCACACACACTATAGTCCACCCACACACTCTAGTCCACCTACACGCACTATAGTCCACCCACACACACTATAGTCCAGCCACACACACTATAGTCCACCCACACACTCTAGTCCACCTACACGCACTATAGTCCACCCACACACACTATAGTCCAACCACACGCAATATAGTCCACCCACACGCAATATAGTTCACCCACATGCAATATAGTCCACCCACACACATTTTAGTCCACCCACACGCACTATAGTCCACTCACACACTCTCGTCCACCCACATACACTATAGTCCACCCACGCACACTCTAGTCCACCCACACACACTATAGTCCACCCACACTCACTATAATCCACCCACATGCAATATAGTCCACCCACACACACTATAGTCCACCCACACACATCATTGTCCACCAACACACTATAGTACACCCACACAATATAGTCCACCCACACGCACCATAGTTCACCCACGCGCACTATAGTGCACCCACACACTATAGTCCACCCACACGCACTATTGTCCACCCACACGCACTATAGTCCACCCACACACTACCGTCCACCCACACACTATAGTCCACCCACACACACTATAGTCCACCCACATACACTATAATCCACCCACACAAACGATAGTCCACCCACACACTCTATAGTCCACCCACACACACTATAGTCTAACCACACACACTATAGTCCACCCACACACACTATAGTCCACCCACACACACTATAGTCCACCCACACGCAATATAGTCCATCCACACTCACTATAATCCATCCACACGCAATATAGTCCACCCACACACTATAGACCGCCCACACACTCTAGTCCACCCACACACTATAGTCCACCCACACACACTATAGTCCACCCACACGTACTCTAGTCCACCCACACGCACTATAGTCCACCCACACGCACTACAGTCCACCCACAAACTATAGTCCACCCACACACTATAGTCCACTCACCCACAATATAGTCCACCTACACAATATAGTTCACCCACATTAAAGTCCACCGACAATATAGCCCACCCACACAATACATTGCACCCATACACACTGTAGTCCACCCACACACACACTATAGTCCACACACCCACTATAGTCCACCCACACACTCTAGTCCACCCACACACTCTAGTCCACCCACACACACTATAGTCCACCCACACACAACATAGTCCACCCACACACACTATAGTCCACCCACACGTACTATAGTCCACCCACACACACTATAGTCCACCCACACACACTCTAGTCCACACACACACTCTAGTCCATCCACACACACTATAGTCCACCCACACACACTATAGTCCACCCACACACACTATAGTCCACCCACACGCACTATAGTCCACCCACTCGCACTATAGTCCACCCACACACACTCTAGTCCACCCACACGCACTATAGTCCACACACACACACTATAGTCCACCCACACACTAAAGTCCACCCACACACTATAGTCCACCCACACACAATATAGTCCACCTACACAATATAGTTCACCCACATTATAGTCCACCCACAATATAGCCCACCCACACAACACATTGCACCCATACACACTGTAGTCCACCCACACACTCTAGTCCACCCACAAACACTATAGTCCACACACCCACTATAGTCCACCCACACACTCTAGTCTACTCACACAAACTATAGTCCACCCACACACAACATAGTCCACCCACACACACTATAGTCCACCCACACACACTATAGTTCACCCACACGTACTATAGTCCACCCACACACACTATAGTCCACCCACACGCACTATAGTCCACCCACACGCACTATAGTCCACCCACTCGCACTATAGTCCACCCACACACACTCTAGTCCACCCACACACACTATAGTCCACACACACACTCTAGTCCACCCACACGCACTATAGTACACACACACACTATAGTCCACCCACACGCAATATAGTCCACCTACACGCACTATAATCCACCCACTTGCACTATAGTCCACCCACACACAATATAGTCCACCCACACACAATATAGTCCACCTACACAATATAGTCCACCACACACGCTATAGTCCTCCCACACACTATAGTCCACCCACACACACAATATAGTCTACCCACACTATAGTCCACCCACACAATATAGCCCACACACACTATAGTCCACCCACACACTTTAGTCCACCCACATACTTTAGTCCACCCACACACAATATAGTCCACCCACACAATATAGTGCACCCACACTATAGTCCACCCACACAAAATATTGCACCCACACACACTATAGTCCACCCACACATAGTCCACCCACACGCACTATAGTCCACCCTCACACAATGTAGTCCACGCACACATTATAGTGCTCCCACACACACGATAGTCCACCCACACACACTATAGTCCTCCCACACACACTATACTCCACCCACACACACGATAGTCCACCCACACACTACAGTCCACCCACACACACTATACTCCACCCACACACACTATAGTCCTCCCACACGGCCAATCCAAGCAGCCGGCTGTTGGTGACGCTAAGATACCTGTTGATACACACACACACAGGGGATACAATGGGGTACACGCTCCACTCACTCACACTCACTCACACAGGGGATACAATGGGGTACACACTCCACACACACACACACAGGGGATACAATGGGGTACACGCCCCACTCACACACAGGGGATATAATGGGGTACACGCTCCACTCACTCACACTCACTCACACAAGGGATACAATGGGGTACACACTCCACACACACACAGGAGATACAATGGGCTACACACTCCACTCACACACACACAGGGGATACAATGGGGTACACGCCCCACTCACACACAGGGGATATAATGGGGTACACGCTCCACTCACTCACACTCACTCACACAAGGGATACAATGGGGTACACACTCCACACACACACACAGGGGATACAATGGGCTACACACTCCACTCACACACACAGAGGATACAATGGGGTACACGCCCCACACACACACACAGGGGATACAATGGGGTACACACTCCACTCACACACACAGGGGATACAATGGGGTACGCACTCCACTCACACTCACTCACACAGGTGATACAATGGGGTACACGCTCCACACACACACACAGGGGATACAATGCGGTACACGCTCCACTCACATACACAGGGGATACAATGGGGTACACACTCCACTCACACACACAGGGGATACAATGGGGTACACGCTCCACACACACACACAGGGGATACAATGGGGTACACACTCCACGCCCGCCTGACGCCTCACCGCCTGCTCTACCCCCATCCCCCCCCCGTGGATGATGGCAAGCGACTCAGGGGATTTCACTGCCAGAGGGGGAGGAATGTGAGGCCATACTTCACCACGGCGGTCCCGGCGCCGGTCGGCCAAGGTTAATCGCAGTGCATAGGGTTGACTCATCCAGGCGCAGCGCCATGCGCTCTCCTATACAGGGGGCTTCAAAACAATGTGAGCACTTCCGAGAATTTGCAACAATACCACAAGACATGTGCTGCCTCCGGGCTCTAGAAGCCACCTGGCGAGGATTCCACGCGCCTGTTGACAATGATGGCGTTTTGACGTTTCGAAACTATTAATGTACATTTGTTATGACGTTACAGTGTAGTATTATCCGTACTTTTCCATTAAAAACGATAGTCCCATGTGAACGTTAACATTTTTTGAAGCATCCTGTTGTATTGTTAAAACGACGACTGCGTCTGTGGTAAGGTTCCAGAGCAATGGGGGAGGGGGGGGGGGTCGACAAGCTGCGGCTCTGGCGCGGGCGGCGTGTGGATCTTTAAGAGCACCGGTGTGACATCGTTAATCAAGGACCGCCGTCTCGTCTTCACCTCGGTGCATTGCGACTCTTGGAAATATTGAGTTGTTTTTTTGTTTGTCGCCGACCGCTGCACTAGAATCGCTGCTGCTGCTTCTGAGCAGGGTGGTGACTGCGTGGTGGTAACGCTTGCACCTCACAGCGAGAAGGCCCCGGGTTCAATTCCCGACTCGGGCGCCCTTTCCGCCGGGAGTTTGTATATTCTCCCACCCCTGTCCCCGCATGCGTTCCTCCGGGTTCTCCGGTTTCCTACTCTCGTAGCTAAAACCGACCGAACAAAGTGGAACCGGCACAAGTCAAAACATCCAATGCGGCAAAATCACCTGAATACTACTCTATAGGGATTAGGCACAGCAACGTCAACCCCCCATACCGTGGAAAATCTCTGCTTCACGATGAACCGTCCGCTTCACAATGAACAAAAACAAAAAAATCATAGCAATCTGAAAACGAGTTGGGCCATTTTGTGTTCTGCGTCATGGCCCAAATTTGCCAAAAAAATGACTCGCGAGTTGTGTGGGAAACACATGGCGGTCGTTACACCCCTCTACTGCGAAGCCACTTAGCAGGACCCTCCTGAAACACAGTTTTGAGACTCAGTGGGGCTCTCCTGGGTGAACAAGCATTGTAGGAATTAAATCATAATTGTAACGGCGTGCGAGTCGCGAGCAGTTGTGCAACGCCGAGCGGTGCCGCCTCTGCTCCCTCCAGGGCTGCGGCCTCGGCAGCCTGCACGCTCGCCTGGCCCAGCTGCAGAGCGAGAGGAGGGCCCACCTCATGCGCCTCCAGCAACCACAACGTGCTGCCCGTGCCGAGCCCGCGGCGGGCCCAAGCCCTCGGGGAGCTCGGGGGAACGTCTTGGAGTCCGTGTCATCTCGTCCCGGCAAGCTCGGCGATGGCGACGAGAACCACGGCGGTGTTGGCGTGGCGCTCGCAGGCAGTTGGGAAAACCCGGCGGTGAATCTCAAAAGGGAGGAAGTTGAATTTTGGCCCTCGCAAACGCAGACCGAAATCGGTGGTGCGAAGGAGGATGCAAGCTGGGAGTTTTCTTGGGATCCCGCGTCCACCAGGGCGGCACCTGCACGATCGCGTGACTTGAATCTGCAGCGGCGTGACCCATCGGCGGGAGGAGAGCTGCTCGGTGACATCCCCGCGGAGAGTAGGAGTCCGACGGGTGACACAATCGAGAACGGAGCGAAGGGCGGCGGGGGAATCTCACGTCCAACGGCCGCGCGCAAATTAATCACTAGCATCTTCGGAGCCATGTTCGAGGATTGCGGCTCGGGGGAAGGCGCGGCGGAGAACGGCGCCGACGTCGGGGTCAGCCGCTCGTCGTTTCGGGCGAACTCCAGCGGCGGCGACGTCCTGCGGGAGTACTCGCTGGCGGCGGACCGGGCCATCGACTGGGCGGCGAGCGTGCGGGCGCTCCACCGCAACCAGCACCTGCGCGACGCGCTCGCCTACCGCGCCCTGCTCGCGCTGCGGGAGCTCGCGTTTCGCCGGGCCCTGGCCGAGGCGCTGTCTCTGCCGGCCCCGGGGGCGGCCGCCACCGCCGCCACGGGGTCCGACTACTTTCACGTGGCGTGGTCGGTCTCGCCGCACTTCGCCCGCTGCGCCGAGGTGTGTTACGCGGGAGGCCGCGACTCGACCGCGGGTGTGGCGCGGGAGCGCCGCGAGCGCTCCCGCGACTGCCGGAGCGCCGGGCCGCGCGGAGAGGCCATCCTGCCGGCCATCTTGAGCGGCCGCGACTGCAGCTGCTCGCCGGACGGGGAGGAGCGCCCGGCCGGCCGAGCGGAGCCGGCCCTGCTGCCCGTGGCGGCGCTGGAGCGCTGCCTCGTGCGGCGTGCGGCCGCCTCTCTCGGGGAGATGCGGCGCGATGTCCTGTCAGGCCTCAGCCTGGTGAGCGCTCCCCACGCCGCACTCCCTTCCCGTGTACATTGAACTTCTTTCGCACCGTACCACGGGTACGATGGGGACGCTTAACGATCGCCCTGTCGGTAGAGCGCTTTGCGGATCCGCCGGCGCGTCTCTTTTCGCCGCGGCGATAACCCCGTGACGCGGTCTGCGTCTCCCTCGCCCCAGCTGCTGGTGCTGGCGCTGGCGTCATGCGCGGCGCACGCGCTCGCGCTCTCCTCGTTCGCGCGCGTTACCGCGTGGCTGTGCGCGCAAGCACGCCGCCTTGCGGGCCGCACGCGCCGGCTGCGCGCCGAGCGAGCGCGCGCCGAGGAGCTCCTGCACGAGATGCTGCCCCGCGCCGTCGCCGCCCAGCTGCGCACCAGCCACCACGTGCAGGCAGAGAGCTTCGACAAGGCGGGTCACGCCACACTACACCGTGCCACACCGCTCCACACTACACCGCGCTATAGCCGTGCCACACCATATCGTTCCACGCCGCACCACGCTACACCACGCCACACCACACAGCACCACACTACAACGCACCACACTACACCGCACCACACTACACCGCACCACGCTACACCACGCCACACCACACAGCACCACACTACACCGCACCACACTACACCGCACCACACTACACCGCACCACACTACACCGCACCACACTACACTGCACTACACCACACTACACCACACTACACAACACCACACCGTTTCACACTGCATCGAACTTACCACACCACAGCACCACGCACCACACCGAGCCAGCTCGTGCCTGGCACGCGAGCCGATTTCACGGCTCCGCAGTGGGACGAACTTTCGGGGGAGCGCGTTCCCATCCCGACCAGGCCCCGACCGCCGATAGTGAACATTAGGTCTGCTGTCGATGCTTCATGAAGCAGACCACCAGCGCCGGATCGGTTGATGCTCGTGGAGTATTTTGGGTGGGGGGAGACATTTCCAGAGCTCTGACCCTGACTAAAATTATTCTGTACCAACGCGCACCACGGTTTAGCACTGCGGAGAGTCAAGGTGCAACGGCATCTGCATTAAATACATAAAGAATACCGTAATGTTACACTGGGGTCTGCGCTGAGTTTAGCCGAAATCCAGCTGTGAACGGTAAGTATATTGGAATAAGTTTTACCCTTTCTGGCAATAAAACAGTTGTGTTCAGATGTTAAAACACCAAACTGAAACATTTGCAAGGAATGATGTCTGCATTAACCACATACTTGTGGCGAACATTTAAACAAAAAAACATGCTCTGGTAGTATATGTGTAGTGAGCGACTTCCAACACACTTCTAGTAGAAGGCTTCTTATTTATTAAGGGCACACAGGGCAATACACTTCGTAACGCGGCTACACCCAGGCTGTCCAAACACGCAGCCCATATCCGTCCTGCGCTACACTGGCTAGTTGACGAGCGCAGCGGCGTCGACGGAGCTGGTCTTGCAGAAGAACAGCCACGTGGTCGAAGAGATGACGATGCCAGAGACGCAACCAGGACCCAGACCCCACACTAACAGCCTCGAAGCTCTGGTCCGGTCCTCCTTATATCTGCTGGCGTGGCCAAGCTCCACCTCTGGCCACGCCCTCTTTCCAGAACCTTCTAGACCCTTCGGGATGGTTCCCAGAGCTTCCCGACTGACTCCGCCCTTAACCTTTAGCCCAGATATGCCCCTTCATAATAAGGCATTATGGAATGCTGCTATAACCGTTAATTACCCTTGCAGCCTGGCAGGTGTCACCCTGTTATTACATATGCATTGTTTTTTAAACTGATTGGTCCACACCAGAGACAGCTTTCGTTAGAGTGTTAGACCAGAGGATGCCAAAAGGCGAACAGCACAAAGACAATGCCACTATCAGGACATTGAGAGCTCGGGGTAAGCAGAATAGGTTTACCCTATTCTGCTTGATACTGGAAAGGGAGGTCCCATGTCGGTAAATATATCAGCCTGTCACGCGACAAGCATTTGTTTCTGTGGCAGGCTGTGTGCGAAAGCGCTGCTACCCGGTGCGGACAAGAGACTCGCCTGAAATAAATTCAGAAGCAGTTCCGTGAGGGCTGCTTCTACAGGCCGTTTTCTGATGGAGGTGGGGGGGTGATCGGCTCCTCCCTGCGATAGTCCCGGATGCACGGAGGCCTCCGTTACACGACCTCCGATTAGCGCGGTCGGCTACGTACGGCGCAAGAGCATGAAACGTTTAAAGATCTGATCCACAGCAAGCGGAGCGATGGGCTCCAGGGCAGCGGGCCCGGTGGCGAACGATCGCCTGCGCTCCATTCCCGACTCGATCGCCTGTCCGTGTGGGGAGTCTGTACCTGCTCTCCCTAGTTCTTGCACGGATTTCAGCGGCTGTGTTGAAGTCGCCTGGCGAGTGAGCTTCATAAGCAACCGCCTCCATATTCACCCGCGCGTGAATATAACCGTCGGCAGTGGCGACATCAAATAGGAGCCTTGGGCAGCTGCATCAGCAGATTGTGTAATGAATTAGTAGCAGCAGCATCCGCGGAATTGAAACGAATTAATGACAGCTTACATCATCGATAGGAGCCGCAGCACATAGCCACCGTGGGAGGCAGGGTGACGGGCTGCAGTGGGGTCTGTACGTTCTCTCTCTCCCCCTGTTACTGCATGGGATTCCTCCGGGTGCTTGGGCTTCCTCCCATAGCTAAAATAACATCAACAAACAACATCGCAATGCTGAACAATCACACGGCAAGCAGCGGCGGCGGCAGCAGCAGCAACATCGCCCCCCGATTGCTATTACTTTGGTGAAACAACGCCGTGTAACGCCGACGACAATGCGAACGGTACCCCCCTCCACCGTTCCCGCGCAGGTGACCATATTCTTCTCGGACGTGGTGCGATTCACGGAGATCGCGGCGCGCTGCTCGCCGCTGCAGGTGGTCGAGTTACTCAACGCACTCTACATGTGCTTCGACAGGCGCATCGAGGCCTACGACGTCTACAAGGTAGTGCCGCCACCACGCGCAATGACACTTTCTTGATTTATCTTTTTTTTTTACGGTCGATCATCGATTATAACTCGGCGGATTCAGGGGTGGGGGGCGCCAGATTTTCAAAAACGCCAGATAATCGCTACATTGTCGTTATTCTTGAAAATTTGCTTATTTTGGCGCATTCTTGTATGACATATTTTTAGGTGTTCTTAAATGGGTTTTTGTTTCAGTGCTTGAAATTTCTTTACTCCATGAAATTGGCATAAATAAACATACAAATAGACAAAAATGTACATCTTACTTTAAAAAGTATATGCTGCACCATACTTACCACTCCAATCTCGAAGACTCTGCATGGGGTGGTGTATATAGACGTGCAGTATTTTGGGTTTAGCTGTGGGCGAAGACTGGAGAACCTGGAGGGATCCCATTCAGAACAAGCGGAGGACATATAAAACTCCACGTGGAAGGTCGGGAATCGAACCCAGGTGCTTCCTGCTGTGAGGCGCGAGCATTGCCCCCTGCATTACCTCCCTATGGCAGGACAAAACACTTGTTTCTCTGGAACACGCTCGTCACATCGATTAAATGAAGATGACGGTGAAATACCGAGGCATTAACGTCATCGGTGGCGGCTTGCCACTTGTATTTCCGTGGAATGCTGCACATCTTTTTGTTTTTATAAATAGAGGGTCGCTTTGAAAAACGTTCCACCGACGATGTTGCGACTGCACCGACCGAGAGCCCCCGTCCTGCGCAGAGACACGGCAACGCTGGTGGCAGAGCAATATGTGCGGTCACTGTGGAACGACGTTGCCAGGTCGACGTCGTGGGGGTTTAACCTGACGGTGACCCCTTTAGCGGGTGCAAACAAAGACGGCCGCTGACCCACGCTCTCTCCACTGTGCCCCATCACGCAATGCTTCACGCTGTGCCCACCACGCTCTCTCCGCTGTGCCCACGGCGCTCTCTCCACTGTGCCCACCACATTCTCTCCACTGTGCCCACTGCCCTCTCTCCGCTGTGCCCACCACCCTCTCTCCGCTGTGCCCATCGCCCTCTCTCCACTGTGCCCACCACATTCTCTCCGCTGTGCCCACCGCACACTCTCCGCTGTGCCCACCACACTCTCTCCGCTATGCCCACCGCACACTCTCCGCTGTGCCCACCACCCACACTCCGCTGTGCCCACCACCCTCTCTCCGCTGTGCCCATCGCCCGCTCTCGGCTGTGCCCACCATCCTCTCTCTGCTGAGCCCACCACATTCTCTCCGCCGTGCCCACCGCACTCTCTCCGCTGTGCCCACCACTCTCTCTCCGCTGTGCCCACCGCACACTCTCCGCTGTGCCCACCACACTCTCTCCGCTATGCCCACCGCACACTCTCCGCTGTGCCCACCACCCACACTCCGCTGTGCCCACCACCCTCTCTCCGCTGTGCCCATCACCCGCTCTCGGCTGTGCCCACCATCCTCTCTCTGCTGAGCCCACCACATTCTCTCCGCTGTGCCCACCGCACTCTCTCCATTGTGCCCACCATCCTCTCTCTGCTGAGCCCACCACATTCTCTCCGCTGTGCCCACCGCACTCTCTCCACTGTGCCCACCACTCTGTCTCCGCTGTGCCCACCGCACACTCTCCGCTGTGCCCACCACATTCTCTCCGCTGTGCCCACCGCACTCTCTCCGCTGTGCCCACCACTCTCTCTCTGCTGTGCCCATCGCCCGCTCTCGGCTGTGCCCACCATCCTCTCTCCGCTGAGCCCACCGCACTCTCTCCGCTGTGCCCACCGCACTCTCTCCGCTGTGCCCACCACACTCTCTCCGCTGTGCCCATCGCCCGCTCTCGGCTGTGCCCACCATCCTCTCTCCGCTGAGCCCTATCGCGCGATGCTTTATGCTGTGCCCACGCCGAGAGCTTTGCTTGGTTCAAAAAAGCGCGAGTTATTATTTGCAAACGTTTCAATTGCTAGTGAGAACGGTATGTTGGGTAATGCCAACAGTGCTAGGTAAGCTTGGTGACCCACCTTTTGTGACTAGACTGCGACTTGTCAAAAATTATTGCTGAGGGCATCGCTACATTTTTCCATGTGTTTTTTTCCTGCTTTAATTCAGGCAGAATATTTAAGGGCGATGCCACTCTTCGGGCTGACTTGGGCAGCTCGAGAATCGCGTATGCGCTAAAACTTCTGACGATCTCCAACTCCACAAGGGGGTTGGGACAAATGAACGTAGTTGGTGGTGCACACCGGTGGTGCGCAGTATATAGAATCATTATTTCTTTTCCCCATCATTTTCAACCCCCGGTCAGAAGATAGTGGTGGTGGTGCGTCAACATCGGTTCTCGTGATGTGGAAGCAGTCAGAAGACGAATGCTTATAGAAGCGGCCTAACATGAAGCTTCACAGTCTGTTGCCATATAGCAACACCCAGCCTGATGACGATCGGCTGGCTCCGTGTTCCAAAAACAGCTTCGACTTCTCGTGCCCTAGGCTTGGTCGGACATTTCCTCGACTCGACGGACCCAAATCCCAACGGTCAATGTTAACATTTTTTAGTTGGCTGAATAAACCTTCGAAGCGCATCAAACTTGGCGACAGGGTCAATTAAAGACCGATAAAACAGATTTGCTGATTCATATGTTGATTTTAGACGGTTTTATGAGAACTGGTTGTGTTATGCGGTACCGATGTACCGCCGATACGTCCAAATAGACCTCGGAATTCAAGAGAACTGAGGGTTGCTCGGCCCAGCTTGCTCGCACGTCAATTTCCAAAGTAAAAAAAAAGTCAACCGGTAACAAATAACATAACTTGACAAAGTTGACATTAAGATTGACAACAATATCGATGCAATGAATGACCAAAGGCAATAGCCGTTAGAAACATAAACTTCATTCCCTCGGCACCGAGTGACACCGCCAAGTTGCGGCCGTGCTGCATTGGTGGGCCGGGGGGGGGGGGGGCCGGCGTTTTGGCAGCCGATTGGCCGGTGCAGTGGGTGGCGATGATGTCACCCCGAGCACCCGCTGGCACGCCCACCGCGTGGCCACCGCGTGGCTACCGCGGTCTCCCTCTCGCGGCCGATCGACGGCCGTCGAAATCTCCCGAGCGCGTTCGGCCCTCGCGCCCCACGCTTCAGACGTGGGACCTCACCGGCGCCCCCTCCGCACGGCGAGGGCAGCAGGAAGCCTCCGCCATGGACCCATTGACGAGCGCCCCCCCGCCTCCCCCCCCCCACCCCGCGTGTGCCGCCGAGGTGGAGACGATTGGAGACGCGTACATGGTAGCGAGCGGGCTGCCCGAGAGGAACGGCGACGTCCACGCGCACGAGATCGCGCGCATGGCCCTCGACCTGGTGGCGGCCGTGCGGCAGGTGAACACGGACGGTCTGCGACTCAACGGCACGCTGCAGCCGCTGCAGCTGCGCGCCGGCATCCATACCGGTATGCACGCATGCACACGCCGGTACGCACGCACCGGTACGCACGAATGCACTCGCACACACCGGGATGCACACACTCAGACACACCGGTACTCGCACACACCGGTACTCATGCACTCACACAACCACCGGTACCCACCCATGCGCGCATGCACTGATGGTGGCCGGAGATTCTTTCGTTGCATCATTCTAAAGATGAAACCCAAAGTCTAGTAATTATTTTTGTAATCATCCATGTGTGTGGGACATATTCTGATAACCTTTGCGGAGGGGCAGCTTAGTTGTAGTTACCATGACTTTTATACCCATACCCTATGACAGGCATCCGGAACGATGAAATGGGCACTATTACTGAAAAACTACCCAAACCAAAGCCAGTTAGGTCACAAACTGGTCTTTATTGGTTTAAATACACAATGAAAACACAGGATAATAAGAAATACCATAGTGAGGTAAGGAACTACTTGAATACAGGGTGTTTGAAAAGGATGAACCCGATGTGAAATCGCTATATCTCTATGAACCACCCATGAATGAAACTCTTACCACTTGAAACGGCGGTGCATGAAGTTTCAAATGATTACCGCTAGATGCCTCTCCGAGTGCACAAACAGCCCCTAGCCTCAGTCATTCGCAAGACGTGCTGCCTCAAC